TTCTCGCTAGGGTTTAGCAGGGAGCTCAGGTCAGCTTCGCGCCGTACGGGGTTGGGCCGTGGCTTGTTTGGGGGCATTTCCGCAGAGGTGTCGTCGGATGTTGGCTGTTGCTCAGTCCCCGATCCAGTTGTCGCCTCAAGGGCCTGAGTAGTGGGTTGATCATTTTCCTCGGTTGCCTGCATCTCACCGTCTTTAAGGGCAGCCATGTTGTCAGAAACGGCAGGGACCCGCTTGCCCCGGTGACTTCCTTCTTCTTTGAGTTGACGAGGCAGGCTGCAGCTGGCAGTACCGAGTGGGTTTCGTTAGACCGCTTAGGTGAAGTGTGTGTCGACGAGGGAGGGCAGGCGCATCCGGTTTGGACTACCTACGTAGGTAGGCCACCTGCAGAAGTGGGTGTGGATTGTGGATTGTGAATTCTCTTTGGGCGACCAAGGAAAACCACGGTCTGCCATTGGAAATGGAAGCAGGAACCCAACGCCGAGCCAAAAGTCAACTGTTTGCACGACGGGGCCCTGCTTTTCTTCCACTTGTATCCTGCAGTGAGACCCAACCTAGTTTGATGTCACCTGGATGGCCATAAAAACCGCAGTAGACATGTGATTCCGTTTGAGAAGCGATGTGTTGAAGTCGTGATACTAAGAAAAAGAAACGCAAACAGAGCGGGAAGGTGGGAAGGTGGGAGGTGCAAGTCAGCGGCTGTGGTTGTGGCTGCGAGAAAGTGCGAAGCTGGGTCGAGTAACCAGTCGACTGGCCGACGTGGTTCACAAACCAGCATCCGTGACACATCCTTAGGCACTTCGTCTATCACAAGGAAACACAGGTGTCAACTCAGTGTGAATTCATCCGAAAAGCTTTGTGGTCATTAAGCTGGCCGATAGTTGTTTAATTCTGCGTGCGAGCCCAAACAGAGCCCATCCCCACACATGACACGGAAAGCAGCAGTACAACGCCGCTGCTCACATTGAATACCGAATAGTCATTGGAGGATAACTGAAAAGGAATAAATACTCCAGAAAGAGTGAACTTTTATGGTTTGGTATGCTTTGTAGGTAGCTCGGATTCACACCCCCAACTTGGCGAATGCTGTGTCTTTTCTGAGCACTTGAAAAGCTCCGTTATATGGCAACGGATGAACATATAAAACTATATTAGATAATATTCCTTAACAGTGGACCGAACAGGTAAAGCTTGCCAACCCAGGGGGAGGCACTAGCCCCGTTAAACCAGAAGGGTCTGCCAGGTTCCTGGGAGTCTGGTTGGACTGGAAACTCAACTGGAAGGCTCACCTGGTGGCGGTGGAGAAGAAGCTGAGGACCCAGAGCTATGCCCTGTCGAGGATCGTGGCAAAGACGTGGGGAATGGGGCTAGCCAAAGCGCGAGAAGTGTACACAAAGTGCATCCGGTCGGCGCTGGCCTATGGCGCATCATCGTTTCACATCCCCACGGATGTGGGAGGCGAGCCGGTAAAGAAAGGCATCACTGAGGCCCTCGGGAAGGCCCAGAACAAGAGCTTGCGGATTGTGGTGGGAGCCTTAAAGTCTACCCCCATCCGTAACCTCGAGACAGAGACATGGGTACCACCATTGGACTTGACCTAAACAAACGGCTTGCAGATTCCGAAAACCGACTCCAACGAACCGATCTGGACGACGGTCAAGGCTGCAAGAAGACGGCGGGGAGCATTGTCCTCACCGCCTACCGCAAGATACAGCAGACTTAGCTCGAGGAGGGGCAACAGGGGCCGACCGCGAACCTTGGGACCTCAAGGGCCTACGGCAGTGGAGAGAGCCGCGGGCACGGTCATGCGCTGGACGGGGGGAATCGTTGGTACGAACAGGGTGGTAGAAGAGGCTTGGAAAGCGAGATGGTTAAAGGAACGGGACGGAAGGGCAATCACCAGGCCGGCGGACGACTTTGACCATTAGCAGGAGGCGCTATTCCGGAACGAAACCCTAAGGAGGCACGACGGTCTCAGCAAGGCGAAGAGCTCACTGCTGATCCAAATCCGGACGGGAGCAATAGGCTTACGGGACTTCTTGTTTACACGGGGAGTCCCGGAGGTTCTGACTCCTGCCTGCGAGTGTGGCGAGGGACGAGAGACTGCCGAACACCTGGTAGTGTGGTGTTTGGCCCCACCGTTGACTCGAAGATGGGAGAGAACTGGAATTCGGACACGACGGGACTTTTACTCTGTTCTACACGGCATCAATCCCACGACTGCACGGCTCGCGAGGAGAGTTCTCGACTGGCTGATGGACTCGGGGAAGCTGCCGATGTACAACTTAGCCAGGAGGCTCGAGCTGGAAGGGGCGGCCTGAAGCGCCCCCGTTCGGAAGCCAGGAGGCCTCCTCTCTTTGTATACGCAGACTCACCAGAACGCATCGTTCCTTGATTGTTGGTATGGGTTTTTCACCCGGCCCGGGAGGGCACGGTTTTCCTGTACACTAAATAGCTGAGGGCCCGGCACGCCCTAGAGGCATAGCGGAGCATGAATAATAATATTTCTTGACCTTTCGGATCCTCTGCTCTGTGTGTTCCCTTTTGCTACTCCCGTCTCCTTCTTTTTGCTTGCAGATTCTACTTTGCTGTTTCTAGAAGATAACGCCGACCAATAGACCATCACCGAAAAGTGAAGCAAGGGTTCAATTACAATATAAGGTCAATGTTTGGCCTTGCATCACCAGATAGGCGAAGCAGCATCTCAATCTTCGAGCCCGTTGACAACTGCGTGATGTTCTGTTTGCCATGATCGCTTGTCATTGGATAGGTCCCTTGTTGGTCAGGAACGGGGACAATAATACCCAGGGGTCCTCAACCCCACAACAAGGTCTGTGCGCTACTTCCTGCATGTGACGTGGGGGAACTAGCATGACCAAGCAGCGACCTATCCAAGTCCACCACCGGCAGCCCAAATCTTGGGCGAGTCTTGACTACACACATTTTCCATACAAAGAAAACGCAACCTACCGGCGGCAGCATGTCATCAGCCGCCCCCCGATCTCAACAGCGGCAGCAACAGCGGCAGCCGTCGCGCCCTGCCCCGAGCCAAACCGAAACCACACCATCCACAACCCCACAGACCCATACCCAGCCCCAAGCCATCCTCCGTCTGCGCGGCGCACACGCCCCGACAGGGAGATCGGTGCAATGGCGGTCCGACGTGGTCGACAATGAAGGGCTGGGGAGGAAGAAATCCAAAGGTAAGCCCACCTACCTCTACCCAACCCCCAACCCATCCATCCCCCCACCACAAAACCCGGCCATTAACACACCCCACCCCCCAACCAGTCTGCTGCATCTACCACCGCCCGCGCGGCGTCGACGAATCAAGCGATTCCTCCTCCTCCTCCTCCTCCGACTCGTCCGACTCCGACTCCGACGCCGATTCCGATTCGGGGCGCGCAAGCGGGAGCGGGAAGAAAACCGGCGACGGCAATCACAAGCAGGGACACGCGCACGACTGCGACGGGCATCACTCGCATCGGGGAAGCAGAGGTCAGGGGAAGGCGCGGAGGAAGCGGCGGCCGAGTCCGAATGCGTACGAGAAGATGCCGCGGTACGATAAGCCGGGCAAGGATGGGGATGGGGATGGGAGTGGTGGGAGTGGGGAGGGAAAGGGGAAGGGGGTGCCTGGGCAGGGGCCGCAGGGAGCTTAGGGAGCGTGAGCGTTGGTAAAGACCTAGCTGTTGCTTGGTTGACGGTATAGAACGGTTTGGGTTTCCTACGGTTGGGGCGTTTACGCGGAGCGGCACGACATGGAGGATTTGAGGGAAGCGATTTGCTTCATCACAATATACTCAAGACCCCGGAATGGGTTATTTCCAGATAGGCTGGTGGCTGACGGCATATTGAGGCAAGAGTCTCACTACCGAGTATTATGCTGAGATTACCGCTGTACTCACCGGCCGATCCCTACGAAGGGGGTGGCAGTACAGGCCGTGGCGAAGGCAGCTAGAATGGCAGGGTTTAGATGACGATACCCCTCGATCAAATCGAACACACTTTTTATCATCAATGACATGTACATGAAAGAGACCACGGCTTCAATGATTTGTGTTGTATTTTTTTCTTTTTTTTTTTGTGCCCGCGCCAACTCAAGGCCGGTGCTATGCTTCTAAATATACTATTATCCACCACCCTCACCCCCAACAAGCGAGCAAGTGCCTCTCTGATCTGGTCTCGACACCCCGCGTCCAAACCCAAGCCAGACATCCCAAAATCAATGCTAATACTCAGCAAGCAGCAAACTATCCTTTTGTGTTTATGACCTCCCATCCACCAGCCCAATCCAGCCCCCTTCCCCTCCCATCCAATGCTTTGCTTTCCGCCCGAGACGACGGAAAAAGGGCCAAAATAGAAATTACAATGCCTTATCGTACAAACACATATTACACTGCCCGCTCGCCCCTTCTGGCTTTTTGAAAAGAACGAACGAACGGACGGACCGGCCATCCAACCAAAAAAAGCAAACCACACACATCCATCCCCAGGCTGACCGGCCATAATCACAAAGCCGGATGAACGGGCAATAACCCCTCCGCCGACTATCCCTCCACCCCCAGCAACACCAATCCCTCTCCCCCACCTAACATGCACTCACTCGGGCACCTTAAACCCCGCCGGCGGACCAAGCATACTAGCCACCTGCTTCCTGACCAGCTTCTTGGCCTTGCCCTGTTCCGTAGGCCGCGGAACGCCCTGAATGGCGCGGGGCTGGCGCATCAGCGCCGAATCCAGGCGCAGCGGGACGCGCGTGACGACGCTCCTGTAATCGCCCTGGAACTTGGCCGACGGCACGGGCACGGACGCGGTGCGCCAGATGTGGTCGGTCGTGTCGGACAGGTAGCCGGGGATTTTGGCGGCGCGGCCTGCGGCGGCGGCAGCGGCGGCGTTGGGGGCCGTGAAGCCGCCGCCGCTGGAGCTGCCCGGGTACAGGCCGTGGGCGCCGCGTAGCGTGGAGAGGCGCGAGAGGCCAGACGAGAAGACGGGGCGGCCGCGGGCCTTCTTGGCGAGGATGATCTCGTCGAAGAGGCGGATGGATGGGTCCGTGGCGGGCTGTCGCTCGCGTTCGTGGATGAACTCGTTGAAGGCTGGGCAAGGGGGGTTAGTTAAGTGCACCTTAGGTAGCGAAAAGGGGGGGTCAAAAATGCACATACCTTGGGTGTCCCGCATCATGGTGGCGTACTCTTGCTGGTCGTACGGCAGGCTGCGGATGAAGGCATCCATCTCAAAGGCGTAGAGTTGGCCGTTGGACTTTTGCTCCCTGGTTGGCCGGCCGAGGTGCTTGCGGTAGGTGTACAAGAGGCTGGCCATACAACGCACAAACGCTGCCCGCACGCGATCGGGGTGGAACGCCTCGGGACATACCAGCGAGACGAACCCGAGACACCGATTGTGAGAGAGGCAGTTGCACCCATTGCATTTATAAAGGCCGTCCCCTTCTGACCTCTCCTCGCAGATCGTGCAGGTCGAGTTGAGTTCAGAGGCTGTCCACTTGAAGCAGTGGCCTTCCACCCAAACCGTGTTCTCTGTGTTCCGCACTGGCTGAACCGTCATGTTGGGCATGATGGTTGACGCAGCAATTGTCGACTGTGCGTACGTTGAAGGTGCGTAGCCTCCGAATGACGACTGCGAGTCGACCGAGATGGCCGATATCGACAGGTTTTGGCTGTGTCCGTTGAGGAAGGGAAGGCTTGGCCGGTGCATGGACGGATGGTGCCTATCCATGCCGAACGACGAGCTGCGCCTAGACTTATCGTCGAAGTGCCCCGACCGCTTTTCTCTAAGCGTCTGGGCAAATCCGGAGTCGCTACGCGACACGGGAGTTGTGGGCATCGGCGGGAAGTGCATCGAGACGGGCGACACAGACGACGGAGGGCTGCCCTTGCTCGACTTGGACGTAGTCGGCCTCTCCATCTTGCTCGGGTCGACCTTCGCCTTGGCAAAGGCGTTGAAGAGGGGGGTGCGGATCGAGCTGGGAGGGTCTGGTTCGCCAAACGTGGACGAATTCTGTGTCACCCATTTGCCTAGCGAGCTCTTGACAGTGCTCGGGTTGAAGATTGTCTCGGCCTCGGCCGAAAAAGCATCATATGGGAAGGCCTCGACAGCATACGGAGGAGGCCCAGCTGTAACCCCGTACCGCAAGCGGTGAGGGGCAGCAACCTGGAGCAACGAGAGAAGCTTCCGTCGGTGTTGTCGCGGCAAGCTGACCGGATGCGCCGTGGCGTCGATGGAGTCCCTGTCGAGGTCCACGAGCACATAATCATCGTCGGGGAGCTCGATCTTCTCGTACCGTCTCTCCACTCCGACGATGTATGGGCAGGGCGCCTCGAGGGCAGATATAAGCCGGGCGGGCAACACCGGGATGAAGATGCTCGCCCATTTCAGAGGATAAAGGAGGTTTGCGAGGGCATGGCACGCGAGATGTAGCATGCCGGTGTGGGACGATAGGAATATGATGCGGGCTTCGGACATGGCGCATTCGAGGAGGAGGACGATATTCTCCAACGACAAGCACCTGAAAAGGGCGTAGATGTCGATAGTTCTCGATCCCGGGATCTCGTTGGCCGCTTCCTTCCGTGCATACAGCCGCAACTCCCGCACGCCCAACTCCACTTGGGTCAGTGAACTCAGGGGGCTGAAAGCCTCAGTGCAGAGGTTGATGACGTAGCGCTCTAACGGCTGCCAACGGCCAACCTTGGGAGAGCTCGGCGAGATCCGCATTACGGCGCCGTCGGTCATGGGCACAGTCACCGCCCTGAGCCACTCTTTCCAAAAGCCCATCTTGGCAGGGTCTCTACCAAGAATCCCGAACGCTCGTGGTGTCCAGAGGCCAGTCTCACCCGCCGTAAGGCCGTCGATCTTGGACGCGGCGCCGTGCCTTAGCGGCCTCAACATCTCTGTCATGAGCGCAATCTTCTCTTCGACGGCGCTGATTTCTTCGTCGATAGAGTCTCGCGCCGCCGAACCCGAGGGCACGGTGCCGAGTTGTGCCAGCAGCTGAGATAGATGTGCGCGATCCGCAGCGAGGCGGCCCCCCAGACTGGCAGCGAGCTCCCTTTCCTCGTTGCTCATGTGCCGTTGCCGCCACAGCTCGCACCGCTTCTCAACCTCTTCGGCCACCTCCGCGTTCAGCGCCGCCCAAACAATAATGGTGATTCCGTAGATCTTGGAATTGTCGTCCGAGGTCATGGTAAACCCGTGCCAAGTCGAACGAGGGCGCTCGTCTGAAGACACAATCTGGATGTCGTTGGGGAAGGCGAACATGGGTACGTAGTCTGGGAACTTGCCCCGCCTGGCCAACTCGTCCGGCGAGGCATCTCGTTGGGGATACCTGTCGAGCAAGACCGGCTCGAACCGCCTCTTAAGCGGGTGCATGTCGGGGTCTAGGTTTAGCGGCTCGGGAGGGGGGATAACCGAGTTGTAGTTGCTTAGACGCTTCGCCGTGCGAACGGAAGCTGGATTACACAAAATTAGCCTGGGTTACCAACAATCCCAAGTCACATCTCCCGAATACGTACCCGCTCTTGGGGGCATGGGCTGCTTCCTCACGCTGCTCATATCCCTAAAACTCATCTTGCGGCGGATGCTGCCACCGATGCTCCTAAGAGGGCTCTTCCTCCCACTCGCGTCGGCATCCTCAGCCCTCAACTTATCAGCTCTCGGGTTGACCATTGGGGGCCTCGTGTGGATCTTTGCGCCGGCGGTGAAGCTGAGATCGTCGAGGAAGTTTTCCCGCTCCGCGGCGAACTTGAGGAGAGCTTCATCAAAGTCGAAGCCGGCGGGGAAACCGTCGAATCCGATCCCCGCTCCTCCGCCAAAGCCGTTCAGATCGGCAAACCCATTTCCGTTGGTATTTGCACCGCTAAAGTTGGGCGGGGGTATGGGCCGGATGGTCGCGCTGCTGCGGTTGCTCCTCGTGTTGCCGTCAATGTCCTCTAGCGGTCGGCTATCGCCACCTGAAATGGAGGGCGATAGGGAGAGTTTGGACAAGGTGGATAAGCGGTTGGCTGAGCTTTGGCGGGAATGCCGAGCCGTAGCACGCGAGGGGGTCGCTGCCGAGCTATCGGTGTCCTCTCCCTCGCCATCTTCGACGATCGTATCATCGAGTTGCTGGGGTTGCTGAGGCGTCGAGCCATCATCGTAGGTGACGTGCTCTATCCCGGCAATCCAGAAGTAGTCGGCGAGCGGTGTGGAAGAGTTCTCCATGATACATCACTTTTCCAGCGGTCTTTCTTTTCTGTCCCTTCCCGCTGCCTCCTCAAATGTTCTGTTCAGCCGGGTTGCTGTGACCGGTCGGTTTAAATCGGTGCTCGGTTTCGTGAGTGCCCGGAGAGTTTGTTGTCGGTCTGCAAAGTTTCAAAACGTTGTGTCGGTCCACCACAGAGTCGGTGACGGCAAACTTTGTGTGCAACGATGCAACCGTACGGCGGTCCGCTTCCCCAATTTCAACGGCGGCGGCCAGACACAACGGCCCCCGCCCGCTAACGTGTAACCTTGACGGTACAGCGCCAACACGAGATTCCCAGTCGATAATGAAAATTGGACGAAAAGTGACCAAAGGCGTGAGGCGATGCAGGCTGATGCGGGCTGATGTGAGTTGCTGCTTCGAGGTAGGGGTCCAGAATAGGAACAGGTCGGAGATGAACGATCGGATTGGGCCCGGATCTAGAAAACTGCGGCCACGACTGCCCAGCTGCGGTCAGTCTTCTTGGAGAGTTCAGACTCAGCTACGATTTGGCAACAAACCAGAAGAGATAGAGCCGAAGCGTTGCACTTGTTGAAGTCGTCGTGGGATCTCTCACTTTTTTCTCTTGTTCCAGGTTCCTTGGATTCCTGCCGTTCTGCATCTGCATTTAGGCCTAACAATAACCCCTGTAATTGAGCTGCAGGAGGTGCGGCACCTTCTCAAGCCCCTGCGTCCTTAGCCTCCTTGCTGGCCCCAGCCGTTCCTGGGTCGTGTTTATGCACGCAAGCCAATCTGGAAAGGGGATCGCAGCAGACGATAGGCCGTATAGAATCGGGCAGTCCAGACCATTTCTGCCAAACACTCCAAAAAAAAAACATTCGCCCAGTAGGAACACCTGCTCCTGCCACTCCTTTCTTGACCTTAGGAAGGGGCGTAACGCCTATGCCCCTCCCGTTTCCAGATTACCCGTTGGGGAGTGGGCGGTCCCTAGCTAGCGCGTCGGGCCTCTCTTCAACTTGGGTGGAGCTATCTGGGTTCTATTCCAGGTTATCCCCATCTTCCATCTTCCTGAATGGATGTGGTGGAGGCAACTGCGCAGATGCCGGAGTCGGACGCTTTCCGAACAAGGGCCCCATCGCCCGTCCGCCTCGCAAGCTTTCCCCACCATTGGTCGCCCCGAGGCTGCATGTCATGTCAACTCACGATATTCGGTTGTTGGTTGTTTCTCGGTGTTTCAACTCGGGGCCGTTTCCCGAGTCGTTCGAGGAACCAACCGCCGTGTTCCCGATATTTTTATGCAAGCCCCTAATCTCCTGTATTTCAGGCGGTTTTCCCCCCAACACGAGGCACTTTCGGACTGGGTCCAACATCAAAGTGGAGGGGGTCTGGGGGAGGATCCAGGGTGACCCCAAGAGTCCGAAACAGGGACCACAATTGTCGATCGAATGCCGCCTCCAGCAGCAGATGTGGGAATCGGTGGTGTGCCGACAAGCGACTTTTCAGACCTCGCCGGCCTTCGCTTTGACTCTTCCATATCAAGTACTCTGCCATCTTCCTTCTCGGTTCTTGGAGTTTTTAGAAATAGCGATAACTACTACACTTAGCGCCCATCCACAGCAAGTCGACCCCCCGTCCGATTACATTGTTCCTGAAGGAAGACACCGTCCGAAGCCGTCATTGGATGGCTGCATCCGTGCAGTTGGTCAATGGATGGATGGCCCTCCTTTTTGGCCGCGCCAGCCTTGACGCCACGCAGGCGCCTCTTCCTGCAGCCGAAAAGCTGTCCGAAGTGGGACAAGAGTGGTCGAACCCGAGTCGGCCGGGGAAGCTGCAGGACGTTGCTGCTGCTGTTGTTGTTATTTTATTCCCCAGAGTTGGGGCGCCACATGGCAGCTTCTTAGCATTCGAATTTAGGAGGATAGATGACGGCATCTCGGAGCCCTGGACGCATCCAGCACCCCATGTGGCCAGCTTTCCCCTTGTGACCACGGCGAGTAAAACCACTGATGGGTAAATCACAGAATAGTTAGATGCGATGCAGTTCGTTGCCGTCGACCTGCATGGAGCGTTTCCCGGCCGACATTGCTCCTTTTGTTGAGCCGGAGCAATCTATGCAGTCCCATCCCAGCGGCAGCTCATGGAGCGAAGCCGATGGTGATAGGCGTCGCGATGCTGCCGATACCCTTGTTGATGTCCCCAACCCGCACACACGAAGGCTTGTTGCAGCTTACATCTCAGCTTCGTCGGACGCGTCAGAAAAAGGCCGATAACCCCCGGCTGACGGTGGCATCTTGCAGTCGCATCGCAGTGTCTCGTCGACGATCAGTCCCGATTCGGACCCGTGTGGATGCAACCTTCCTCGGCAAAACCAGGGGTTCTCGAGGCTCCGGCATGTGGGGGAGGAGCTTCAGATCTTGACCCTGGGATATCCAGATTGTTGATCGACTTCCAAGCTTGTCTTTCTCCACTGCTCTTCTTACGGCAGATATCTTTTGCTACCGGAACTCTGTGGAACTGTGAGAACAAGCGGCAGACAGGAGCCGCATGACGAGCGATTAACCGCCCCCTGGCAGCGGGCTTGCATCTGGCTGATCAGCGGTGAACCAACCATCCGGGCGGGAGGTGTCCCGAACAGGCAACTCTCCAGTTGTTAGTGGACTCGGATCCATCCAGCAAACGCCAAACTGTAACTGCTTAGCCCGCTACGGTCTCACCATATTCTCCAGCCAATGGACAAAGTTGTCAGCTTTTCTCTCGTCCCAAGTATCAGCTTCAAGACGTCCGGCCGAGGCACAACCCAGTGGCACTCACCTTGGCACAGCATTTGCCAGACGTCACACGAGGCTAGTACCCGCTACCGCGTTTGATCACGGACGCGGGAGGGGTCTTCCGAAAACCTGGTTTGCCTGTCATCCTGGCCCTGTCTTAGCAGGTCCTGCTATAAGCTGAAAACCACCCAAACCGATTTCGGTCTTAGGTCAGAAACTATATCTTGCGCACCCGAGACCACACCACGGGTGATCTTCGACGGGATGCGATCTCCACTTAGGACGACACGGATCCATCCGTAGCGAGTCATGGCCGTGCTGGACACGAGGGCTATGGTATCCGTACATACAGTCGAAGTTTGCGCGACCTGCGGCTTGGGATCTCGGATGGAGCCGACTGTGATAGGCGTGTCTGTGTTTGCGTCCTCGTCATGTACATGGGGCAATGGCGGTGTCTAAACTTTGTGCAATCATACTTTACACTAAATATCAAACGCCAAACCCGTCGGCTAAGATGCGTTCCAAACGCTCGGGACGCCGGGTTGTGACCCTGGCAACGCCTAAATCTGGGCGTTGAAGGCTGATTTTGCTTTTGTTGGGAACAACCATATTACGTACGCACCCACTAACGAGGTAATATGATTGTTTGTGGGAAATAATTATTGTAGACAACCGACCGGCGTATCTTTTGGCTTGACGGTTTACTATGAGGCTACCTATGTACATGATTTGAGCCTCCATTAACTCTATTTGTTGGGATTCTCTTTTGTTACAAAACGTTTGTTAGACAAATAGTAAAACATGGACCATTTGGGCGTAGAGTAAGTGACTTGAAACGGTAACATGGGGTTTCTGCCATGCCAACCCACCCTACAATCCAACTCAATGCCATGTGGGCGGACGTAGATTGCTATGTATTGTACGGGTTCTCGGTGTACCTCGACCGCATCTCTTTACGGGTCAAGTTAAACAAGTTCCTGTGGCCCTTGTCGTGGCTGCTACCAGCGTAGGAGACTGAAGTCAAATCTCTTACTTGTCTAGCACCATCCCCATCGAGCCCTCTATCTCGGCTTCACAAACCGCGTCCCCAGCTTCCCCGTCGACAAGAACCCCCTATTGCCCATCTCACTCCGCCACCCAATCTGCAATATCCCAAACGCCACCCGGCCATCCACCTCCTCCACAGCCCCCGCCGCATCCTCCTCAATCACAAAGCAAACCTGCTCCGTCTCCCCCGGCAACAACACCGGCCTCATCCTCCCCACCCCCCCATTACCGCCAGTACCGCCACCACCACCACTCTCCCAATTGCAATCCTCATACCCCAAACCCCTCTCCAGCTCCAAACCGACCTTCTCCAGCATCAACCCCTCCTTCCCACAATTCTCCAACTGCGCCTCGAGCACCCAGCGGCGGCGGCCCGACGCCGGATCCGCGGGGGGCAGCGCGCCCGGCTTGGTGCGCACGATCAGCGAAGGCTTGCACACGAACTGGTACAGCTTGCGGAAGGTGCGCGTGCGGCCCGAGAGCTCGCTGGCCTCGTAGTAGGACACGGTCACGGCCAGCACGTGGTTGCCTTCTTCTTTGAGGTCGAAGGAGAGGATCTTTTGGAGGGTTTGGTGCGGGGAGAGGTCGGTGCCGGGGCCGGTTTCGGTTGTGGCGGTGGTGGTGTCGCCCGGGGTGGTTGTGGGTGTGGGGGGGGATGGTGGGGTGAGCGGGAGCGTGAGGGCGGTTGCTGAGGAGGGTGTCTTCATTTCGGCCTCGATGCGCACATCGCGGATGGTTTTGGCTGCTAACGCGGCTGGGTTGTCGTCCGGGATGTCGTGGTTCGCGCAGAGCGTGCAGCTGAATGTTTCGCCGACGTAGGCGGAGCCGAAGGACGGGGGGAGGTTGAGGATGGGGCTTAGGACGAAGGGCGTCGGGTTCGTGGGGACGTCGTTGAGGCCATTTGAGCTGTAGGCGAGGGAGGCGGGGATGGGTGGTTGGTGGGAGATGGGACCGTCGAAGGGGGAGGAGAAGGGCGGTTGGAAAGGGTATTGGGCGACGAGGGATGGGCGGGAGAGCCTATGTTGGCCTTGTTTGAGTGATTGTAAACTTACAGATCTGATATGGATGGTGACTTACCGTAGCACCTTCAAAGATACCGAGTGCGGTTCCTTGACCGCATCATGGGACGGGTATCGTTGGTGGCTCATCGTGGGTGACCATGGCGATGCACCGTGACATAGCGGGGTGGAGTTGGAGAGTTGGAGGATGGGGAGCTGGAGCACCCTGTGCCCCACCTAAATTTTGGGGCTGCTTGCTTAGCCCAAAGCACGGGCTTTCAATCCATGCTCGGGGGCACTTGATGCTTGCTTCACTGAGAAGGTACCTATCACGCGACAGCAGCATCGACCCGTTTTTGGGGACTGGGTCAACATGCCTCCGCAGCGCCAGGTTTTCAGAGAGAAGATTATTGGTAGCCACCAGGCGAACCTGATGGTTCAACGGTTTGATAGATGTAGGCCACCTAGATCTACGAAAATGAGAATCAGGCAATTTTCCTAGGAGACATTGATTGGCCCCCAAGCCACCGTTCACACCTGCAACTCCTTACGCCCAATATCAGCAGAGGTAGCAGCTTTGAATCATCAAGACTCAAAGCTGCCGCAAAACCAAAGCTGGAAAAAGCCTGAACAATATATAAATCACCACGAGATGCAAGGCTAACGTGGGAAAAGGACAGCCCAAACCATGGATCATATCTCTTGTCTCCTCTTCCTTGGTGCTTCCTCACCAGCAGGAAATAGCGCCACTAGGCGGAGATGGCTTTAGCGTGCGCTTGCGAACGTACTTGTTCTTGATTCAAACGTCGAAAGCGGGACTCAAAGCCCGGGCGGCGGAGGGACCTGGATAGCTGACATTAGCGGCGAGACTTCAACACTCTATCGGTGAAACATACCGCACTGTAGCCAGTCGCACCTGGCGGCCCTGACGGAGGGGGCGGCGGGGGAGCCGCAGAAGGAGGGGGAGGAGGCGGGGCAGCCTCGCTCGGGGGCGGCGGCGGCGGGGATGCCGAAGCGCCGGGAGCACCAGGAGCACCAGGAGCAGCGCTTGCCTGGCCGGCCTGGCCAGCCTGAGCAGCCGCCCACTGCTGGTACATCTGGACATATGCCTGGTAACCACCATAGGCTGCATACGGATCAGCAGTACCGTAATATTGGGCATACTGAGCGGCATAGTCGGCGGCCGACGTCGGAGTGCCAGTCGAGGTGGGTGGCGTGGCCGAAGCGCCAGCTCCAGGCGCAGGGGAGTTGCTGTAACTGTGGCTGCTGTTCTGATGGTGGCTATCCCGATTGTAACCTTGGTACGAGTCACCACCACCCCGGCCGCCGTAGCCACCACCACCTCCACCGCCGCCGTAGTTGCGGGGCGGTCGGCTCTTGAACTCCTCGTATTGCTCCCTGACATTGGCAAGAAGGTCTTCACAGAGCTCCTTGGCTTTCTGCACCTTCTCGGGATCCGGGCCCCTGTACCATGTTAGTTCATCCCAGGATGACCCGACCGAATCAACTTACGCAACATGCAAAAACATATCCTCGTCGCTCTCTCTGCCAGTCGAGGCCTCCATATAGCCTGAACCCCGGCCCTTGATCTGGACGCGGCAGGTGGTTTCTTGCTGAATATGCTTGACATAGGCACCGCCATGTCCCACAACCTGGGCGCGGAGGTTAAACCCCGGCACTGACTCGAGGTTGATCGGGATTTTCTCCTCGGGCCATTTGCGCTATTCACAGTTAGCTAGCGGCAAGGGAACGGAAACACTTCTACGTACCCGGCCAAACTCGTCGCGCTCAACTGGTGCCTGTTCCTGGTCCCGGCGGCGGAATCGGCGTTCATCGACAAGCTGGGGGAGTTCCTGCTTCATCATTTCCTCGATCTTGGCAACAGCTTTATCCAGGCCTTCCTTTGACGTGCTGGTAACATGAAGGTATAACGGGGGGTTCTGTGGGTGTGGGTCAGCTCGGGGCCCGAAGAAACGGCCGGGTAACATACCGCCGGGGTAGCCATATTCTTGTCGGGGTAGTAGTTTCCACGGGTGGTGACATCTTTGAAAATAAACTAGTTAATCGGTGTCCTTTTAACAACAGTTGAAGGTTCAAGGTTGGCGTACCAGCACCAGTTTCTTCTTTAATCTAAATCAAGCAGCCGAGGTCAGCAGATGCAAAAGAGGGTGTGCCTGTGAGAGCTATCGTGCTTCGAGTAAGCAAGACTGTCCCGCACAAAAGCGTCACGGAGGCCATGACACGGAGCTGATGGATCAGTTTGACAACCAAGGAGTAATTACCATTTTTTGCGTTGAGCCCTTCGTCAAGAGGTATCTGTTGCGCAAATCGTTGACCTCGATATCTTTGATATAATCCCCGTCGGAAATGTAAACCTCTCCGCTGATAGGGGCGGCGCCGGGGGCTGGTGAGGCATTGTTGCTAGTGACGGAGCTCGACCGGACAGGTGGGACATCGACGTGCTGGATCCCTTTGCGTGCCTGGAGTTGCGCATTGATCCGGGCAGCAGCCGCAGCTGTGACATGAATTAGTAACGAGCAATTGCGGGTGGGGTGGGCTGGTGAAGCATCGCGTGACAGGGACTTTACCAGCGGCAGCAGCGGGGTCTACGGGAGGCGACTTCGTGTCGGTGGGTGCATCGCGAGGCCTCGAAAGGGGGCTACGGTCCCGATCACGGCCAGAGTCGGGTTTCCTCGGTGGGGGTGAGCGAGAGCGGCGGTCGAACCGGGATCGTCGAGGTTCGGGCTCGGTCTGGTCAAATCGCGAGCGCTTCGCGCTGCGTCGCTCGATGTCGTCCATAAGTGTAATTTCTCGGCGTAATGCAATTATGACTAGGTCGATCAAGAACGTGAAATGAAGAAATAATGGTGATAAGAAGTGCTGCACATACGTGTTGTGCAATCGGTTGTCAGAGCACTACCACGAAAAAACACAGAAGAGTGCTGCTACTTTGAAAGGTCATGAATCTGGAAACTTTCTGCCACAGCCTGCAAAAGTCCAAAGCGCACAAGGCTGTTGGGCATGGTGCCAAGCCCATACCGTGTGATATTTCAATCTGCTCATGATCGCACTGTACCTGTTCAAGGCTGGGATTCATGACGATGAGCACGGGCACATCTCCTGTCGTTGGATCAGAGCCCCACAAGCCCGGAAGCGGCAGATGGTTTCTCCTCTCCATCGGCCCAGCCTTATCTCGAAATTCCCGGCGAGGGCCAGCGATGAAAACCCCACCCATGCACCGGACTCGGAGCTGGGTCTGGACTTGAAGCTAGGGAATTGGCCAATGCAAGTTTGCCTCTCCACAAACCGGCGTTGCTTCCCGCGGTGTGACAAAGATCGTTTAACCAGCGGTCGGAAACTTTTATCCTTCCCCTTCGTCTCTATTGAGGTGTAAGGTGACTCACTGAGCGACCATTTCCATTAATATTGAAACAACGGCTCGATTCCAGATAGAGCTTGGGACCTTATTTCCCCCAACAAACGGCCCTCCGGCCTGGATTTATTCGCAAAGATGGCATCTCGTAGCCTCTTTGCCTCCTCGCCGGCGTGGCGCAGGTTAGCGACGCAAGCTCGAGGTGTCCCCCGCGTGGCACCATCCATCACCACCCGCAACTCCAGCTCGACCTCGGCCATTGCGTACAAGGCCATCCGCCGTCGACAAGCCCCCCTCCCCGTTGACCAGCCCCCAGCGTGGTCCGCCCAAGCGGCCGTCTCGAACATCCTCTACGAAACCCCGACTCCCTCCGCCGCCCCCCCCAAGAGACACATCCTCAACTGTCTCGTACAGAACGAGCCCGGTGTGCTCTCGCGCGTCTCCGGTATCCTAGCAGCCCGCGGCTTCAACATCGACTCGCTTGTGGTCTGCAGCACCGAGGTGGTGGATCTCTCGCGCATGACTATCGTGCTCACGGGTCAGGACGGCGTCGTTGAGCAGGCGCGGCGGCAACTGGAGGACCTCGTCCCCGTCTGGGCCGTGCTGGACTACACGGGGTCCCCACTTGTGCAGCGGGAGCTGATCTTGGCCAAGATCAACATCCTCGGCCCCGAGTACTTTGAGGAGCTTCTCGCTCACCACCGTGAGATGGCGGCGGAAAGCCCCAACGGCGAAGGCAACGGCCAGGAGGTTAGCGACGCGAGCCTCGTGGAGGCGGCCAAGGACTTCCACCCGAGCAAGCTTGTTGCCAGTGAGGCGCTCCGCCACAAGCACGAACACCTAAAGAGCATCACCTATTTCGCTCACCAATTCGGCGGCAAGGTTCTGGATATTAGCACTAACAGTTGTATTGTCGAGGTGTAAGTCAAGCCACAATCTCTGCCAAGCCTTTCTGACTCATTCTAATCACTGTCTGCTCCAGATCTGCGAAGCCGTCCAGGATAGATTCGTTCCTCAAGCTTATTGCTCCCTTTGGCATTCTGGAGTCGGCGCGCACGGGTCTCATGGCTCTGCCTCGCTCTCCTCTATACGGGCCTGACGAGGATACTCACGTGAAGGAGGCGGATGATGTTGTCGACTACAGCCAGCTTCCCCCTGGCTAAATAATACGGTGTGGCGTAGGTTGGGAAAATATATTGGTCATGTATCAATGGGCAACTGTTTTGAGGTGACTCAAAGTAATTGATCAATGTGAAACCTATTCTGGTATTGTGAACTTTTTGGCCCCCGGCACCGAAAACCACGCCTGCTTCGAGTTGGAAGCAATCTGTAAATTGAAGCATAAACCCGTTGCAACCCCTTTATAGGATCTTGCCCTTGTTGACCACAAAGGCTTCCAAGGCGGCTGCAATATTTGGTTAGCTGAGTCTTCGCGGGTGGGATTCCCAAAGCAGCACCTACCAGCAGCGGCCCATAGCCTGTTCTCGGCCTCGGGGAAGACAAGTGACCTAGAGCCATAAAAGACCTCGTCTTCGACCTCCTCCGGGTGCCTCGGCAGGCAGTGCATGAACTTCCAGTCGGGCTTCGCGCCGCCGCGCTTGGCCAGCTCGTTAGTGATCTGGTACCCGGCGAATGCCTTCATCCTCTTCTTGCTCTCCTCCTCCTGGCCCATCGACACCCACGTGTCGGTCACCAGGATGTCGGCGTCCCGGATCGCCTCCTCGGGCACCTGCGTCTCGGTCAGGCGGCCGGGGCTGGCCACGCCCTCGCCCGCCGCCAGGATCACCTGCTTCATCGCCGCGGGGATGCCGTACCCGGCCGGCGACGCCACCGCGATGTCCAGCCCCATCTTGACGCACCCGATCGCCAGGTCGAAGAGCACGTTGTTGGAGTCGCCCACCCACGCCACCTTGAGCCCTTCGAGCCCGAGGCTGGCGTCCGAGGGGGTACGTCCCGGGAAGCTCTCGTGGATGGTCTGGAAGTCGGCGATCGTCTGCAGCGGGTGGTAGTCGCTGGAGAGCGCGTTGATGACGGGCACGGAGGAGTGCGCCGCGAGGTCGGCGACTTCCTTGTGCGCGCCTACGCGGGCTACCATGCAGGAGGTCATGGATGAGATCACGACTGAGGTGTCGTACAGGGATTCGTTTACCTGGGTGGCCGGTTAGTGTCGGGAGAGAAGGGGGTTAGTTCGGATGGTCTGCACGTACGCCCAGTTGGATGTCATCCTTGCCCAGAAACATGGGATGACCACTCATCATTTGCACAGCTGCTTCTGTCGAGACACGGGTCCTGGTGCTGCGCTTGTTGAACATCATGGCCACCGTCTTGCCTGTTAAGGAGCCGTGGAGCGGTTTCGGAGGTTGCTCGCCGGCAGCGAAAGCGGCCTTGACGGCGGCCTTGTGAGATGACGCATTGAGAACGAGTTTTGTGAACTCGGCTGGGCTGAGGTCGCTAATGGACAGGAGATGCCTGGGCCCGGAGGCGCTAGATAGAGATCGGGTTTGGATATGAGCCATGGCGGATTTTATGGTGCGGCAAGCAGCGCGCGAAGACATGACGGTAGTTAAAAATCACTTGAAATTCTTCAAGGGATATTTGGGGGGAAGCTCCTAATTGTTGAAGCTTAGATGTTTAGAGAACAAAGCGAAGCCAAAAGGGCCTCCTGTGATCGCAGGGGCTTGTTGTTTTGTACACGGTCGACACGTCGCCGTGAGTCAGTGAATTCAAGACCCAGAAAAAAAGAAGCCACAACCTTATAGGTAGGTGACTCGCCGAAGTCGCTAGCCTGGGGGAGCTTGACCCTGGAGGTCTCACCAGTTAGATTTTACACGTTTCCATCTCTATTTCCAGACTCAAATAAATTCTAATCAACAATCATATACACCACATAGAATGCCGCATAGTTCATAGCGATTTGCTGAACTCACAAGTATCTTGTAATCCCAATCAAGCGAAAAGTGAAGGAGTCAACTCTTCACACGACCTCCTGGGCGGTTCCCGAAAATTGTTGAATTAGCGTTTCTTGGTGTTGGATTGACACTGTGGGCTGACGAATTAACGGAGAATCATTGGACATTGGATCTCCACTCTGGGGTTGGGGCCGGGGTTGGAAAGCCGACCCTGGTCTGGCGTTGGGGCGGCCAGCTGGGTCTCTTTCCAACCAATGGGCGCTGCTTCGCTCGACAGAAGAGGCGACAGCCCGACAAGGCGCCATGTTTCAGCCGGCCTTGCCAGCGAAACGTGCGCCACGGAACCATCCAACAACCAACCCCATCGCCATCCACATCATCACTATCTTGTCGTCATTACACACTCCACTCGCTCTAGCGCCTACCTCCATCTTCCTCGCACACGATCAATTGTCTCAAGTAATCACCGCACTTTCCGATCTGAGCCGGACAACCGCAATGTCCCCCATCTGAGCGAACGATTGCATCAGTATAGCAGCTCACTGGTCTAACGACAGCCTTCGGGCACCCCACGCTTTCGTTTCTCCCCTCTTCCTGATACCATTTGGTATTGTCGGAGTCCGCCGAGATGGCCGACTCAGAGCAGGCACCCCTTCTTTCTGCCGAGGGCAACCGCAAGAGCAACAACAACGGCCCTGAGTCTCGCGAACCCGAAGACTCGTTCGAGTCAACCCCGCTATTGTCTAGCTCGGCCGCAACATTACAGTACGATGACGAACAGGATGACGACCATGACGGCGACTCGGCGTCCATCACTTCGCGTGCCACAAACACATCATCCGTCAAGTCTACCAAGAGCAAACAAATACGATGGCCATCTATTATTGCCATGATTGTCTTGGCACTCGGCGCGCTTGCGATCATGATCCTCGCGTTCATTGTTCCCACCGCCGTCGAAGAGTATGCGAAACAAGCGGTCGTTCTCGAACCTACAAATCTGTCCCTCGAGTCTATCACAGCCAACGGTATCCGAGCGAGGATACAGGCTAACTTCCGGCTGGACGCACAGCGTGTCGTGAACGAGCACGTTAGGCGGATCGGCAGGGCAGCCACGTGGGTCGTGGGAGAGCTCGGGACAGAGGAGACGAAAATCAATGTCTACCTACCCGAGTATAAGGATGTTCTACTCGGTACTGCCGCCGTGCCTCCCCTGAGCGTCAGCATCGTGGACGGTCGCAACAACGCGGTGGATTTTGTGGCCGACCTCGCTCTGGGCGATGCTGAGGGCATTCGGTCGATCGCGAACGAGTGGTTGGAGGGAAGGCTGAAGACTGTCCGCGTCCGAGGGCAGGCCGATATCCAACTCAGGGCGGGCATCATTCCGCTGGGAACACACTCCGTTGTGGAGTCACTTACATTTGAAGGTCAATCCCTCTATCAGTCATTCGCCTCCCTGTACCTCGGAGAGAAGTCTCTATTTTGAGTCTCTGGCAGAATGTTACATGGTTGCTATGGCCCTTATTGTTGTGAACTGTCGCTGATGAGTTGTGCAGGCAGCAAGTTGCCTCACATGCCGGAGTACAACATTACTAGGATGAATTTCAAGGACCAGCCTGTCCCCGGCGAGCGCAAAGCAATGGCAGCTGATGTCACGATCCAGTCCTTCAACAAGTATCCAATCTCTGTGGACATTCCCGAGCTTGGCTTCGAGATTCTCCTCCCTGGATGCAGCCCTGCCAATCACCCCATCCTCGTGGCTACCGCGACGACCAACGGCGTAGCCGTGCGCCCGCACGCAGACGTACTTGTGAATGCTCATAGCCTCATTAAAAAGCTGCCCAACTCACTCACCCGCGTCTGTCCCAATTCGGACTCCTCGCCGCTTGACATGCTCTTCAAGAAGTATCTCGACGGCGAAACAGCAACCGCTCTCATCCGGGGCCAAAAGCACCCGGCCGGCGACACCCCGGGCTGGATCACGGATATCCTGTCCAGCGTTACCGTTCCTGTGCCGTTTCCTGGACGCTCTTTCGACAACTTGATTCGAAACTTCTCTCTGACCGATGTCCACTTCACCATGCCGGACCCTGCAGCAGAACCCGACGATCCCGACTCCAACCCACAAGTCTCGGGAAATATCGTGGTTCTCGCGGGGCTTCCTTCTGAGATGAACTTTTCGTTGAACGTCACCAACTTGCGGGCGAACGCGGATGTCTTCTACAAAGGAAAGAAGCTCGGAGAACTAAACCTGAAGGAGTGGCAAAAAGCGAACTCGACGCAAATACCAGCGAGGAAGCATCGCGAGGCTACCCTCAAGATCCAATCGCATATCAAGAACGCGCCACTCAACGTAACCGACGCCGACGTTATGACGGATGTTCTTCAGGCTCTTTTGTTTGGCGGGGACGTGGTGCTGAGCATCAAGGCTCTTGTGGACGTCAAAGTGCAGACGACTCTCGGCCAGCTCGTGGTGAAGGCGGTCCCTGCGGAGGGGAAGATTCCAGTAAAACGTCCGTCTCCTTTTTGATGATATCGTCAGTCGCCCGTGTTGGGATTGCTCTTCCGTCCACGGATCAGGTTAGGTCGGCAAACTAACACGGGCGTCGCGTAGCTCTCGGAAAGGATCTCCTAGGCGCTGCCGCACCCCAAGTCGGAAAGGTCGAGATCACCGACACAACTCCTGCCTCCCTTTCACTACATGCATTAATTAATATTACAAACCCAACGCCGTACTCGGCGCACATTCCTTTCATTATTTTACATGTCGAGAGCAACGGTACAATTATTGGCGAGGCGTTTGCAGAGAACTTGGATGTCAAACCAGGCAATAACACCAACCTACCCATCTCAGCAGTATGGAGTCCGTCAATGGGCGGCGAGGAGGGCCGCGAGCGTGGCCGCAATCTTCTATCGGAGTACATATCGGGCTACAATACCTCGGTCACCATTCGCACCCACCGCGGCAGCATCCCGTCCCTCCCGCTCATCGGCGAAGCCCTCTCCCGCCTTAACCTAACCCTCCCCGCACCCCGACTCCGCCTCCCCGGCGGGGATGATGACGATGACAACAAAGACGACGGCCGAAACTCCCAGCCGCACTTCATCCGCGACGCGACGTTCCACGTGCTCTCCTCGACCGCCACCTTCACGCTGGTCTCCCCCCTGCTGCACAACACCATCTACATCGACTCGGTCAACGCCACGGCACTGTACAACCACACGGAGCCCATCGGCCGCATCGAGTATTATGACCTGCCCTTTGCCGCGCCTCCCGGGTTTTCGGTCACCCCCAAGCTGCCCGTCGACTGGTCGCTGGACTCGGTCGGGTATGGCAAGCTCCGCGATGCGTTGGGCGGGACCATGAAGCTTGATGCGCGCGCTGTGGTGGGGGTGAGGTTGGGGGAGGTGGACGGAAAAGGTGTGGTATGTGGGGAGGGGGATTGGGGCGGGTGTTAGGTTGTGATTGCTTTTTGTTTCTTTTTGGCTCTTGTTCTTCTGGTCGTGCTAAGGCCTCGGAGAACGGGATGGGTGTCAGGGCTTGTTTGGTTTATTTTCTTTTGGGGGGATACGGAGTTCAATGAGAAGGGATACATGGATATGGGACGTGGGTTTCGGTTATTGCTACGCGTTACGGCGTGGGTTATAAAGGGCAAGGGACAGAGAGGGTTACAGGACCTGTTTTTAAGATGCTAGGCGCATGGTATAGTACCTCCAGAATGTGTGTGAATACTCCAGATATCCCAGCACTTCTCATTGAGAGATGTCGTGACCTCAACCCGTACTTTTATTCTCGAATGTTTACACCAGTCAGGGGCAGCAACTCGCAACCCTTCCCCAACTCCATTGAAGTGATGCCAAGAGCCGCCTTCAAGTTTAGTGGGGTACCCCACGTCATAGGGGCCTCCCCGATCTGGCTCAATTGTGTCGGCTGACGCGCTTGTGAGAGCTGCACGTGTATCGTTAATGTCTTGCATGATGGAATTGCCTCTCAATGAGGGGTTACGTTGTATTCCTCGATATGTTCCGAAGCTGTGTTTTAAATAAGGTGTTCCTGAGAGCCAGAAAGAACGCGCGGCACCAGGGATTATCGGAGCTCTCTGAAGTTACCTTTAGTGGCGCAATTCCCTGTAAGACGGCCAAACGGCCTCCCTAAATCCGGCACGGCACGGCACGGCAGGCAAGCTGGTTTGTTCCACAACCACCACCACCACCAGGGCAGCTTGCGACATCGCTCCCTCCAGACCTAGCTAGGTAGCTCCCTACGAAAAAGATAGCTCGCCATTCCCTCTCGACGCCCGCAACCGAACCACGCGTGGCACGAACCCCGAACCGAACCGAACCGCGATGTCCTCGCAGGACACGCCCTACCGATAGAAATACACAGACAGCAGCCAGCAGGATGCGCGCCATCCTGCCGGGCAAGCCCGAGTCGCGGCTGCAGGCCCTAGCGACGGGATGCTGGGCGTCGAGGCGCATCACCGTGAGTAACCCCCCCTCCACCCCCCCCCCCCCCCTTATTTCCCAACCCTTCCCTCCCCCTCCCCCTTCCCGACACTCACCCACGCAACCAGCCCAGCTAACCCCGTGCCGCAACGCAGGTTTACATAACCGGCAATGCGCTCGCCATCCTGGGCCGCCCCGACCAGCTGCTACAGACCGTCTACGACGACGACCCCGACCCGCTGCAGGCCGTCGCGCTGGACGAGGCCTCGGGCAAGATTGCCGTGTGCACGCGCCGTGTTGTGAGGGTGTACAGGCCCCATTGGTGTGGGTGTGGGCTGGGAGAAGGAGGAGGAGGAGGTAGGGGCGCTGCAGTGGGCGCCTGCAGAGCTGTTTTGGGGTTGGTGATGGGGTGGTTGAAGAGGCGAGGGAGGGGGGGAGAGGCGGGGGAGAGGGGGATTGGCCCGCGGTGTCGCTGTCGTGGGGCGCGTCGGAGGAATTGCTCGTTGCGCATAGGAGTCTGGAGCTGTACCAGACGTCGTCGACGTTGGGGAAGCCAGAGTGTTCGTGGCGGAAACGGCTCGCCAACCCGGTCCGGCTGGCGAGTTTGTCCTACGACTCGGCGTATATCGCTTCGGTGGGGGAGTATGATCGGCTGGTGAAGGTCTGGCGGCGGTTGAGCTACGGCACGGGGGAGGTCCGGTTCGATTTCATCTACTTGAGGCATCCGCAGCCTGTGACGGGGATCCAGTGGCGGCGGTCCGCATCATGTCGACCAGACCATCGAGAATGCCCTGTACACGTTCTGCGCGGACAATGTGCTGCGCGTGTGGGTGGGTTCGGATAGCCATGGGCATCAGCACCTGCATTTGTGGGGGAATCTCGACCTGCGGGATGCTATCCCGAAACAGGAGCCCAAGTCCTCGAAGATGGAGGACGGTTCGCGCTGGGCGTTTGTTATGCATGGGGGAGATCTCGCCGCCGCGACCGAAAAGGCTGTCCAGGAGGGGACGCAAACAAAAGAGGGGGCTGCTGCGCTGGAGCATCTTATCAGTGTTGCAAATCGCAGCCCGGAGATTTGTGTTGTGCTAGACGGTCGGGGGCGCATGTCCGCGTGGGCCTTGGAGAACATCGGCTGCAAGACGAGCAAGTCCAATGTTTTCAACGTAGCCCACGTCACGTCCCCGGAGCTGGACTTTCTCAAGGGAAACTCAGGCTCGACGAGTCCACACGTTGAGGCTTATAGTTACTGTCATTCTGGTGGCCACTTGCACATCCTATTGCATTTCTTTGACGGGAGGGTTGAGGTCTACCGCGGCAATATTGCCGCTTTGTTTGACCGGAACCCGAAGAGGAGGCGGTTAACCCAACAGTGTCTCTGGACCGGGCATTCAAAGCCAATACGCAAGATTGTTCGAAACTTTAGCGGTAGGGCGATTGTCTCGCGGACGGAGCATGGGCAAGGCGTAATCTGGAAACACGAACTGGGCGCTACGCGGACCGGGCTCGCCCGGCAGGCGGTGATCCCCGAGCAGGGGCATATCCACCGGATGTGTCTCCTCAGAAACGGCCGATTCGTCGTCTTTCTTCGCCACGAGACTATCTCGTTGTGGGACTGCCGTCAGTCGGCGCCGGCGATGCTGGCCGAGCAGAAATACGATGTCCCTGGGAAACCACTATGTCTGTTGGTCCTCCCGAGGCACAAGGTCGAAGACTATACCACGGCGCATATCGCTACCATCACCTCTGAGAAAAAAGGAGTGGTTTGGGAGGTCAAGTTCCCCTTTTATTCCCGTACGCACTCGACGACCCCCAGTAGTACCAACGGAACCAAGCATCAACAACCCTCGATTCGCGAATTCGTCAAGTTCGCGCTCGAAGACGCCGGCGACCTCGCCTACGTCCTGCCCGTCGACCCGGCCGGCACCACCCCGCACGTCTCGGGCTTCCTCGACGTCTTCGCCCGAGACGTCGCCATCTCCTACACCCACTCCGGGCGCGTCGAGTTCTGGACCGCCCGCGTCGGCCACAGCGGCGACGGCGTCGAGTGGCTATCAACCTGCTCCATGGAGACCAGCGTCTCCAACCCGGCCCTCGTCAGCGGGAGCACACGAAAAAAAGCGGCGCTCGTCAACTCGGCGCGGTCCGCGCTCACCATCTGGGACATCCGCGGCGCGCGCCTCGAGTACACGCAGGACTTCGAGAACAGCCACACCATCCGCGACCTGGACTGGACCTCGACGCCCGACATGCAGTCCATCCTGGCCGTCGGCTTCCCGCACCGCGTGCTGCTGCTCTCCCAGATGCGCTTCGACTACCTCAACGAGGGCCCCGCCTGGGCCGCCATCCGCGAGATCTCCATCCGCGACTTCACGCCCCATCCCATCGGCGACTCGGTTTGGTTGGGTGACGGTCATTTGGTTATTGGTGCTGGTAACCAGTTGTTTGTGCAGGACCGCCGGTTTGATGCCGGCAGCTCGCTTGTTACGAGTCTACGGTTGCCGCAGCGCCGGGTCGGCCAAAAGCATTGGGATTTGTTTGAGGTGGTGCAGAGGCTGAATGGGCCGCTGCCGGTGTTTCATCCGCAGTTTTTGAGCCAGTGCATTCTGGCGGGGAAGATTGTCCTGGTGCATGCTATTCTGATGGCGCTGTATCGGACGCTTAAGTTCTGGGCCGAGGGGGATGAGCTGGATGACTATTTGGGCTTGCAGCTGGAAGACTTTTACGAGGTTGATCATGTGGGTTTTTTTTTATTTTCTTTTGTTCTTGCTTGCTACCCTGATGATTAACGGAGGCGCGATAGACTGGTGCTGACGCATGGCAGACCACCAAGACGTCGTCCAACAAGGACCCCGGGCAGTACCTGCAGCGGCGCATGTCGTACGACGACGGCGGCGACGAGCCCTTCTCGGAGGAGGTGGCGGCCGAGATCAACGAGCGGCTCACGCGCATCGACGTGGCGCAGCTGTCGGGCCACGAGCAGATCCAGCTGGTCGACATCATCGAGTGCGTCGGCCTGGTCGAGAAGCAGCGCCGCTCGCTCGACGAGAACGGCGCCCGCTTCGTGCTGTTTTTCAGGCAGCATGCTCTGCGCAAAGGCCGCACCAGCGAGATCCAGATGGGCTGGCGCGAGATCAATTGGGCGTATCATTCGACCAGTCAGGACGTGCTGGTGGATTTTGTGTCGAAACAGAGCCATGGGAAGATGCTATGGGAGAATGCGAGGGAGAGTGGTATTTTTATGTGGTTGGCCGATAACGCTGCGGTGGTAAGTTGTGTCGTTCCCGAAGTAAAAGGGAATGGGTTGCTGATAGGAGAGCAGAAAGCACAATTCGAGGTGATTGCTCGCAACGAGTATACCCAAAACGAGCTCAAGAACCCGATCGACTGCAGTCTCTTCTATCTGGCTCTGAAGAAGAAGACGGTTCTGCAGGGCCTGTGGCGCATGGCGACCTGGAATCGCGAGCAAGGCGCGACACAGAAGTTACTAGCAAACAACTTTGAGGATCCCAAATGGCGGACGACGGCACTGAAGAACGCGTACGCCCTGATGAGCAAGCGGCGCTTTGGTACGTCTCCCCTCTCCGCCTCGTCTCTCCCGTCTTTGACTAACAGCGGCCAGAATACGCGGCCGCCTTCTTCCTCCTCGCCGACCACCTCCACGACGCTGTCAACGTCTGCCTCAACCAGCTCAAAGACCTGCAACTCGCCATCGCGGTAGCACGCGTCTACGAGGGCGACACAGGCCCCGTGCTGCGGCGGCTCCTCGAGGAGGAAGTGCTCGCCATCGCGGCGCAGGAGGGCAACCGCTGGCTGGCGTCGTGGGCGTTTTGGATGCTGCACCGGCGGGACATGGCGGTGCGCGCGTTGATTGTGAGTACCAACGCCCGGGTGTCATTCCCAATACTGTCGTTGCTGCTATCGCCGTCCAGTTAACTAACTACCCCCACAGACACCCGTATACACCCTCCTCGAAACCCCGGGGTCACCGGACCCCCGCTCGCGGCTGTTCCTGACCGACGACCCGGCGCTGGTCATCCTGTACAGCCAGCTGCGGCAGAAGACGCTGCAGACGCTGCGCGGGGCCAGCAAGGTCACGCCCAAGGTGGAGTGGGAGTTTGTGCTGCACAATGCGAGGTTGTACGATCGCATGGGGTGTGATTTGTTGGGGCTGGATTTGGGTATGTTTTTTTTCTTTTTTTTTTGTGTGTTTTTGTGTCTGGTGTCCCCGCCCCCTTTGCATTTGTCAAGGTTTTTAGGCTTGGTTGTGGTTGCTGACTCGATGGTGGTGGTAGTGCGAAACTGGGAGTTCCTCCAACCTGCCGGACCCGCGGCCGGTTTGGGCGGGGAGGTGAACCCGCTGAGGCTGCTCCGGAGGAGGGAGTCGCTGGTTGTGGCCGATTTACCTGTGTCGTCACAGCAGCAACAGCAGCAACAACAGCAGAATGTGCCGGCGGAGATGAAGTCGGGTGGTCACTTGCCTAAACAGCAGCCGGCGCCGACGGTGTTTGAGGAGCCGGATGCGAATTCGCTATTGGATAGTTTTGGGTTTTGATAGGGAGGGTCAGGGGAGGAGTTTTATCTTTTTCAGTTTATTGGCTTACAAAGTGCCCGGGTCCGTTTTTAGTGTTGCATAGTTGGCGTACTTGGTGGTGTGTTTGGTGGTTGGTGTATCACTAGTTGTAACTGAATGGGTGCCGTGTTCTATGTAACTAGCTTGTAAAAGGAACATAGCAAGGCAGAGCACCAGATTATAGTTATGGAGAATTAAGTGCATGGTAAATTCAATCTACATGTATCGCACTTTTCTTTTTTATTGGCATTAACCATTCAGACAAACAGTGTGGGATGATAAAAGTGAGACAGAGAAGAGAACGGAGGGTTGAAGTCGGCGACTGCCTATGTACCTATTTCGGCTAGTGCCATATCACTCGAACGCGAATGAACCCTTGGAGTCAGCTGGCGGACAGGCGGCGGGGGTTTTATTAACGCCGGACTCTCGCCTGTTGATCATCACCCCAACCACTCAAGTAGGACAGTCAGCCATCAACCTACTGTGCATTATTCATCAACAAAACCACCCTCTTATTCATTCCCTCGAGTCGACTTCACTCGGCCAACACCATCACTATCCATGGAGTAGTAACGGGAATTCCCACCATCCTTTCATATTTCCCTTTCCCGGCGGATTCAACAGCCGCAACAACAACAACCATAACAACCATGGCGACCCTCTCCACCAAAGCAACCACCACCACCACCACCAACAACACCACCGCCACCGCCCAAGATGACACCAGCCCCCTCCTCTCCTCCTCCTCCCCACCACCCCCCTACGCATCATCCGCACCCTCACAAATAAAAATAAACAAAAAAGAAGGTAGGTTAGAACCAGGGGAAGGATAGCTAAACCAGACATACCGAGGACATATCCCACTATTGCGACTTAGAAGATAGTCTAGCATGAC